TTCATCCCCCCACCTAGAAACGGTTTCCAGTAGCAACGTCATATAAAAATAAAGGGATAAATAAAAAATATTGTTTTACTCTGAATAAAAAACCTAAGTTTACGTTTAAGTATTCTCGTCGAGAACCCTTCTCCCCTCCCCCGGGGGCCCCTGAAAATATAGATCCGTTAGAAGAGAAGATACCACATAACTTCACCCTCTTCTTACCTCTTTCACGCACGTGTATTAACCCCTCCCTATTTATCTTTATTATAAAACGTTGGAGGTTTGTTACGACTTTACACGTTTGTTTCTCACATAGGAAACTATATATATATATATATATTTTTTTATTTTATACATTCATAAAAAAAAAAAAACACTCTCGAATCCTCGGAATCTTTCAGTCTCGCTCTCGCATCTTTATCACTCGTTTTCTCATTGTCAAACCCTTTCTCTCCCTCTCACTTCTTCTCTTTCTCTTTACACCTTCTAAATGTTTCAATTTAATTGTATTTTTTCTTCGCATCCGTACACTTGCATACTCGCGCACACATCAATGGAAAATCGTCCTCGTGGCATTGTTTATTGCAATAAGTATGCGTTGCAAAATGAAAAAGAAAATTCAGCGAATGATTATTCTTTTTGTCGTCGGCCACACACGTTGTAAGTTAAAAACAAAAAAAAAAGATACGCGTAATAAGGGGAGGGGGGAAAAAAACAAAAGAACACGAGAGAAAAGATACACGTTGCATAATCGTTCTATCTATGATATCGTTGTGTTCGGAGGAGGGGACGTTCTCTGTATGCGTATATTTTTATAATTAATCTGAAACTGCACTCGTGTATTACATTTAAAAAAAAAAAAAAAGTTTACAAAAAGGAAACATCGTGGAGATCGCAAGATTCGTTCGTGTCCGCGTGAAGATCTAGATTAACGCGTGAATAAAATTATCCTAATTACATTACGTATTTACGGATCAGTAAGTAAAAACGAACAAAAAGAAATAATGAAAAAAATAGATAATAGAACAAAAATGAAAATATATTTGTTTCTTTTTTTATATCTGATAAACGATAGAACACATTTGAACACGAATCTCGCGCGCCACTTCGAATCGTTTTTTTTTTTTTTTATTATATAATGATATTATATATGAACAGTATTATAATAGTATATAATTGCGTTGTCCTTTCCTAAGCTAAAGCTACGTCGACGTATGTCGTTTACAAAACGCGCAATCTTTCTTATATACCACCTCTCTGTCCTTTTATACAATTAACTATGATTATTTTTAATGTCTATGTGGCTAGCAGGTACGTTTGCACTCTTCAAAATCGCCGTCAGATCTTGGAAACGTGTTATTTTTCTGTGTGTAATAATCTGTTTAATAAATCTTATAATATTTACGTTAATAATCTTTAAAATTCGATCTTCAAATTTTTATAATATCTCATTCCTCTGTATGTTCATTTTAATCTCGTCAAATATCTCGTTTTATCGATATCTATGTTTTTTAATTTTTTTTTTTTTCTTTTTATTTCTTTCAGGATTGCGTTCAACGTTAGATACTATTTGAAACAGGACAAGGGTCGTAAAATTGTAAGATTTTTTTTAAAAATTTCAAATAACGCGCCTAATCTTTAAAGCTAGATGTCTCCCAGTTGATCACGTGACGCATATTCAAGAAACTGTGCAAATATTTATATCTTCATATAAAATTACAAAATCGTATATAATATTAGTATTTTTTTTTTTATTTTTTTAATGTATATATACATATATATGTATATATTTAATATATAAGAAAAGAAATGGAGGAGAATAATACGAAGCTTCGATAAATACGAATCAGCGTCGTTTCACAAGGATAAAAAGTGTTTCGCAAATTAACCGGGAGAAAAAAAATGTGTAGCAAAAACGAGAAAGAAGAGTATATTGAAAACGATAGTAAAAAAAAAAAAAGAAGAAGAAAAAAGAAAGAAGACACGTTTCCACGATCCAACGACGAGGGTTACTCTCTGAGCAATTTTCGAAGAAATGTCTTTGTCGAGAGAAGGCTTAGGGAAATTTTTTAGTCAATCGAAGGGAGAAATGAAAAAAAAATTATACGCGTATATATGGTGAAACAAAAGAACAGGGAAAAGGGAAAAATAAAAAATATATATATATATATCTAAATCGCTCTTTTCCGAATTAATTGACAGTTTAAAGTATAGTCATAATCGTCGTACTAAATTTGGCTAAAAAAAAAAAAAAAAAAA